TCATAAATTACAGTTGCATTTTTACTTTACCATTTCCTTATTGCATACTGGAAAACGAACTTGGAAATTTTGAGTTTTTACTGAGTAATATAAACCCAAAGTCACATGCATAGAGGAAGCATTGAAAGGCCTGAGATAAATCACATGGCTATTTTTAGTAGAATAACAACRGACAAGTAAAAATATCCTTTTWTTTTTTTTTTCTCGGACTGGCTTAAATATTTTACCTATAAAAACTTARAATTTCTCAATTAAAAAAAAAAAGGTTTCCAAGCAAGTTGATTTACAGAAATAACCAAGTGTAGAGGAATACAGAGGAACCTACAGCAGTATCCAGATATAGGAGTGCTGATGAAGGCAGTGGGGGACTGTGGGTGGGTGGATGTGCATGCATATATTAATATATATAAAAAAAAAAAGTCCCCTTTTAAGCAGTGTAAGCTCATACAATAATCAGTAAGGGCTGTTTGTAGCGCTATCTATGAGCACAAAACCTCCCCAACTGGAAAACAGATATATTTGGACCAGTTAGAAAAGTGCTAGTTGGTTATCTTCTTCTACAATATCCCAAATAACCTATTGGATCTGCTCATTTGTCATCTTGTGGGCACATGATGGTCAGTGGTTGGGAAACGATTAAGGCCGCCAAGGAAAGCAAGGGCACAACTTCCAGAAAGAGGGGTTTCTCAGCAGAACACTGCCAAGAAACACAAGATCTAAAAGACTTTCTAAACAGCAATCTTGTGCATCCTACCTTCTTCAGAAAAATAAATGAATACAGAAATCCTCAATGATTCCTAATGTTTAAGATGAAAGCCAGTGTTCCAGAAGTTACCTCTAACTGCAGCTCTTCTTCACTCCCTGTTTTTACACACAGTACCAAATCATATCAGGGAAAAAACATAGAAAGTGAAGCTCCTAGATAAGAGGGCAGTCTGAAAATGTGGCTGTTAGTGAATTATCTCAGGTCACCGAGCCCTTGGCAGAACAAGAGCTAACGGAACGAAGCGGTCGTCGCTCCTCATCGCGAGCAGTGCTCCCAACCTTGCCGAGCTCCTGGCCATGCCACGGAGCCTGCAGTGGGAGCGTCTGTCATTGCTGTCCTGTGTCCTACCAGCTGGGGACAGCTGGAGACAGACCCCAGCGCCTGATGGCAGCCACAGAGCAAGTGCAAGCAAGAGCCAAGCGCTAGCGGCCACCTCCTGCTCAAGAGCTCCTCGTGCCACCGTGCCAGGCACCGGCACTGCCCCCCTCACTAGGTGCTCTTTAAGTTCAAAGAGAATATTAATTACACACACTGTTATGAGGTACCTTTCCTTAAGCATTTAGACTGTGATCAGCGAGACAACAATCAGAAAACAACCTGTTTCTTTTGCAGATTTCATGGAACATGAAGTCTCAGGCTAAATTTTAAGGGAAATTTTTTCAGCTATGGCTTGCTCCTGTCTTCAGGGATATTTCTACTTGGTTTATTTAGAAAGTATTCTAATATGCATTTCAAGTTATAAACATGCGAATGTGTTTTTCCTTTCCATTAATACTTTCATAAATTCAGGATTCTCTGATTGACAAATCAGGTTGAAAACAGCAATTAAATTAGCAGAATTAAAAGTGCAAAAATTCAAAAAGCCCTTAAAAAMTGCCATATGCATTGCTTTTTGTTTTGCATGTGAAAATAGGTAATGCATTGCATTTATTTTTTTCAATATACGTTGAATCTAATTTTTCAGCATATTTACACCAGAACACACTGTGACATTCATTAACTGGTAAAGCCCAAGAAGATCTGCAAATGTTTGAAAACTTTGTTTGACATTTTGTAGCTTAATTCATTTCAGAGATGGACCTTTGGCTCTAGGGAAAAGTGAACATCAGAGTGTTCTCCTAATCATTTAATGGACTGAAAAATTTACATTAGCTATAAAACAAATCCACGAAGTTGCTAGGTGCAACAGAAGGAGAGAGTTAATTAGTTAACAGTAATGCAAAAGAAGCTGTCTGGACCGAGGAAGCAGAATGAGTCATTAGTTGCCTAACCAAACTATTTAATGTTAACTTTGTGTGCCTTACTAATTTAGGACTGTAATTTGCTACAATTTAGAAAGACTAAAAAATTGAGTGTACTTCCATTTAATATAGACAGCTACACAAACAGCTACAAGCAAATAATCAAAAACACACTTTGCTTTTTTTGGTTGCGTCGCTATCAAAAATCACCTTTATGTCCGTAAACATTTAGGTGCTCTTGTTAAAAACATCTCCTTGAAAATGACCAAATCTGTAGATTCACTTTCCCATATCATACTTTGCTCTACGCAGAGAACAGATACTACAGACACCTCAAGTTTGTATCTTTAATAATGCTCATACGTTCTTGGATGCAGCTTCATTTTACAAGCTGAAGGGAGAAAAGGTAGAATTTTGACAACTGACACATATTTGGTGTATGACTAGTTCAATTTGAATATACCTGATTTCGYACTTACAAGTTTTCATGAAATCAGGGCTGAATAAACTGCCTGCAGAGTTTSTTATTTGGAAACAAGCAAACAAAGAACAAAATAGAGATAGTTACAGACTCTGGTAAAAATACAGATTGGGGGGAAATTGGTTTGGAATTATCAAGAGAGGCAGAGGGAAGAAAGTTATTTCCTTATAACACTGTATATTGATATATTCTGCTTTTCTCCTTTCTTCCCTTCAAAAAGAACCTAACAGAACTGGAAAAGTACCAAGGAAAAGGACMATGTTGGCGATCAAGCAGATGAAACACCTTTTGTGTTAGGAACGACTGAATCAACTAGGGTGAGTTGTGTGTGTTTGTTTAGCCTGGGCCAGACATGGTGAAATCAGTGAAATCACGAGAGGGATGGGGCACAAGGGCAGGGAATGACTTTGGCSACAGCAGCCCTGGCTGGCAGCGCACTGCGGCGCTGCCTGCGCCCACAAGGCAGGCRGGAGCAGAGCCGAGGGCCCTTGCTGTGGTCTGCAGCTGCACGATTTAGTAGAAGGGAGAGAAAACAGAAATCAACCGAGGGCTTCTATAAGCAGCCAGGATACGCCTGGCGAGGCAAGGACGGGGCCGTGGRGCGGCGTTGGAGGCTCGCCGGGCGGGAGAGCCGCGGCCGGGCCCCGCTGCGGCCTTGCCGGCCTCACGTCCCCGCAGGGTCGCGCCGCGGCGCCCGCCATTCCCGGCCCCGCGAGCCGCCCTACCTGCCCCGCGTCGCCCGCAGGCGGCCGTTGCTAGGGCGACGGGAGGGGTCAGGATTGGCATTACCGACAGGCAATCAGCGCTCTGCTTTTCTGGCCCGCCCCCTCCGCGGGAAGCGACTATTGGTTCTTTGTACGTGGGGGAGGGTTGCCTAGAAAACTACACTTCCCAGCGCGCCTTGCGTGATGCCGGCGGTGCCGGACGGGGCGCGCTGAGAGCGGGGCATGGTGGGGGCTGTAGGCGGCCGCGCCACGGGCGGAGGAATGGCGGCGCCCCGGCCCGGGAGCGGGGCGGCTGAGGCCAGCCCGCCTCGCGCTCCCCGCGGCGTCTGGTGGCGTCGGCCCTCGGTGGCCTCCGCCGCGTGCGGCCGCGCGGGTCCAGGCGAGTGTTTTGCTGCCAAAGCTGGCGGCTGCCGCGCTGCCCGCCCTCCGAGGCGCGTCGCGTTTCCGCGCCCAGCGGTGTTATTAGACATCCGTCACGTTTCAGACGCCTGCTCAAGGGCGGTCAGTTTGCCCTGTTTGGTTGCAAAGCTCCCAGGACTGGCGTTCCCTTCTTTCCGTGCGGGCAGAGCCGCAGCCGCGGTGCCTCTTTCCCCTCCATGGGGATCCTCGCGATGGCCCCGCACCCTCCCCAGGCAGCTCCTGCACTTTTTGTCTGAAAATCCCACCACCCTCCGTTTTTTCCCTTCTCCGCGTTTTCCCTTCCCGCAGCAGCCCCTGCTGACCCGGCTGCCTGTGCRCTGGGTTGGCCGGGCACTGTTGTGTCCCTGGCGCCGTCCCAGCAGCTCCGGGGATCCCTGTGCGGAGCAGCGGGCCGAGGCTGGTACGGCTTCTTTGAGCTCCAGGTAATGACTTTAATAGCTTAAATATACGTGACGATGATCCCCGTGCCTCCCTACCTCAGCGCGAGCCRTTCCCCTTCTCTCGCTGCTGGCTGCCCTTCATAGTTACCGTTTTGTGACCCGTAACGGGGGGTTATTAAAGGTTGGAAATAGTTTTAACAAATCAACTCCCCCTCCAGCCCTTGCCTATGGAGAAGCCTAAATTAACCTGGAAATAGCATTGCAGGGGTATAAAAGGTATGTAYAGCATAGAGCAATATGTGCTATGTGTGACTGGAGAGACAGGTAAAACAKAATTATGCAGGTATGTATCTCTCTCTCTCTATGTATTTATCTACATGCAGGGACAGTGTGTAGGAAGGGGGTGCCCAGCCCGCAGCGTGCGCGGGCCTGGCRGCACCGCTGCTCCCCAGGACGCTCTCTTGGAGGACAGGGGGGCCCCGGGGCACCAGGCCAGCCCCGGGGGCTCTGTGTCCCAGGCTGCTCCCCAGCCGTGTCCTGCTCAGGTGTGTTGGGTGCGCGTGGGGCAGCTCCTGCCTGGGGAACAGGGCCCCCATCACCGGCTTCCCAGCCTTCAGGGTCCCCTATGGATCAAACTGGCACCTTCTCCCTGCAAGCCAGCCTTGTTGTTGGGTGTCGGCAGAAGCCGGGTCTGACATGCAGGGCGCAGGCACTGCTCGCAAYTCGAGGCTGCGGGAGGCAGCTGGGCAAGCCCACAGGAACCCCCCTTTTTCCCACTGTTGTTGGCGGCCTGGGAGCTGCACAGGCTGCAGGACAAGAGCGCCTTTCTCAGAAGAGAGRGTGGAGGGAGGGAGCAGCGTTTGTGCTGTGGGAAGGCGCCTGCCTCCCTCAGATACTGCGATATCATCTTAGGTTGGGAGTCCCTGCATGAAGCTTTTGTGTAAGTGCTGCCTAAYGAGAAAATACTTGCTGTGTTTCAGGTTTATCTGTCTGAAGCTGATACCACGAGATCAAGTCTACGTATGTATTTTAAATCAGTCGTTACACTGACAGGACTATTGCAATGTCATGGGAGAATGGAGAAGTCTGTGTAAATGATTGATCAGCTGTAATAAAATAGACTCAAAAGCTTTGAATTGTAGGAAGTGGAAGCTTCATAAGGAAGGATCTGAAGTGTTTTGTCCTTTTTTAACCTGTATATGGGCACATTCTTACCATTGAATTGCTGATACAAAACACATTTCTTGACATATTTAACACCTGGGGAGATTAAAGGTCTCTAATAGCACTTGAAAACAGCCTTGTGTTCTGCTGCATGGAGTGACAGCCCTCAGGGAGAGTGGATGCAAGTTATGCATTTTTTTAATTTATCCTTAATGATTTCTGAGTCATATGTGCATATATAGTTAAGAAATTTCACTCATGCAACTTAAAAATTAATTTGTCTAATGTGATATGTCTTTCAATTTATTCATTACTCAGGCTGTCTTCTCTGTTTCCAGCATCAATAATCTTTTCTTTGAAATAATTATTCTTGACTTATAAAGCATTTGTAAAATGGCTGGGAGTAAGTGAAGTTAATAACTGTCTAAAAATCCTGAATTCTATGGAGAGTAATATCTCAAACTGTGTTTATGAAATTGTCATAATCTTTTCCTTCATACTCACCTCAAATAGCAACCTCTTCTAATCATGACACTTTCAAACAATTACCTTCTGGTCTTCATTATCTGGTTCGTTGTCRTTGCTTTGCATTCAATCTTGTAGACTTTATGGCTGTATCAATAGACATATTCTTGTTATCTGAAAGTTAATAAGCTCAGACAATTTGTCTGATTTGCAGTTTGACATTCTAGATCTCCTCTGTCAAGAGCTGTCAATACTAATATCTAAGAAAAATGCTGTTTGTCTTTAAAATTACATCTTTTTCTAGTGTTGCATAGAAGACTTGTAGATGTTGGGGTAAACTCCACAGAAACCATGCAAGTAGATAARTTTCCATAAGAGTCATCACTAATAAGAGACTTTGGGTGCTTTTCTAGACACAAAAGGAAATGAGTCATCATGTCTTGCAAATATAATTTTGATGCTGGGAAGTGAGAGAAGAGACTTTCAGAAGTGAGTCTGTAATTCCAAAGGGACAGGAATTCCAATATTAAATAAATGGCCTGACATTCTAACTGTAAATAGAATGGATAATCAAAACTTAGCCTGTATTGATAAGGACTCTACAGAACATGTGTAATATTATGTCAGGTCTTGTTTTTTAGTTCAGTATAACATGTAAGTGCCTCTTATAGAAGATAAATATCTCTGGAGTCTAGATGTCAGGAGGGCTGATCTGATGTTGTTATATTAGTGCTTCCATTTTTTTTCCAACTGACATGGACTCTTTGTTTCAGAAATGGAAAATCCTGAAGTGGCTGTGAGCAGGTGCAGTGCTCATGATGATGAAAGTCTTTGCAGCTACAGACGACACCCATCGGTTTCACAGGAGCTGCTTATGGAAGACCAGCTTAGGAGGAAATTAAAATTCTTCTTCATGAACCCATGTGAAAAATTCTGGGCCCGCGGCAGGAAACCTTGGAAACTTGGAATTCAGCTACTCAAAATAGCAATGGTGACTATTCAGGTGAGTAACTCTGGAAGCAATTTTTAACAGCTACAAAGCTTAGCCTGTTACAGAGTTCATCAGTTACTCTCAAAGCATCCTGAGGGAGAGATATTTCTTTTTCTGAGTTGTCCCTAATTTTCCTTTTCTACACCGGAGTTAAGATATCGCAGTGGGATCTGGTTCTCTCTCCTGCTCTGCCCTTTTGGCTGAGGAATATTGAGATTCCCCAAGGCAAATCATTTTAATGTCATGCTGAATGAACAAATCATGTGTAGATCATGTCTAGCCTGGATTTGATGTGGTATTCTTTTCTTTTTAAAAGATGAGTCTTTGGCCATGCTGCCAGGTAAATAGGTTAAAGAAATATTCTTGAAACTGAATGTTTCCTTGAAGTCTTTCGACCTGTTGTGAAATGTAGCATGCATGTAAGTGCTGTGTCTATCAGTGAGATGAAAGAGTGGCTGCTTTTAGGACAGGATCTTTGTTTTAATCCAGAAGTCATCTGTCTTCAAACAGGAAATTTAAATGTCTTTTTTTCAGCTGGTGGTTTTTGGACTGAGCAATCAAATGGTGGTTGCTTTCAAGGAAGAGAACACTGTGGCATTCAAACATCTCTTCTTGAAAGGATACATGGATAGAATGGATGATACCTATGCTGTATACACACAAGCAGATGTTTATGACCAGATTTTCTTTGCAATAAACCAGGTAAGGGTTGTTGCTACAATGTAAATAATTTAAATGCTCTTTAGTATGCATGCTATTTATCCCTGAACCTTCTATTCTTTCCTCTTGAGGAGGTCAATTAAACTTAAGTATTTATTAAAGTTCTATGGAAGTAAATACAAAAAATTCTGTACATCGGTTCTGCATTTCACAGATACAGGTAACAGTRCTGCCTTGCTTCAGGGACAGAGAGGCAAAGATTTAATACAAGGATTTGGATATTTGAAGAGCTTACATACACACAGACCATGGTGATACAGCAGAATAAGATATTTCTGTGTTCAGCAGTTTACTTTCTGTCAGTTTACTTTCTGTCAGACCTAGGGAACATAGAAGTGGAAAGAAATATSTACGAGATAAAAATTCTTAAAGTAATTTGGCAGGAGATGCATGCGACTGTTTTATTTTTTGTATTAAATAATACAGATTTTATGATTTGGAGAATATCGATCTTCCAGCTAGAATAAAGCCATTTCCGAAAAGAACTGATGGATGCATTTTAACAAATGGATACATTTGTTAAAAAAAAAAAAAATCAGCGTACCTGTTATTTCCAGAACATTAGACATAATGATGACATCCTTAAAGCAGATCAGTATATTATTTTGCACTAAATTAAATCCTTTTATTGGAACCAGCATGCTTTSCAAACAGTGAATTAGGTTACCTAGTAAGGATTGTAAACAGAAAAAAATATAGTAAGCAAATAGTGTTTTAGATTTTAATCCTGCATTTCTTGCCTTTGCCACGTACCTTTTTTGAGGTATTTGAAGACTCAGCTATAGCGTGGTGTAGCACAGGYTTTTTAAATTCTTTAGGTGAACTTCAAAATAATAAGATGGGTCAAAGCACAGATCCAATTACTTCTGGCTTTTTCAGAATCCAGCATTTCTGATGTGTCTGACTTGCCTTGTTCTGAATTTGAGTATTTACAGCTGCCCAACATCTCCATTGGAAATCATGCTTATGAAAAGAGAGGAGCAGAAGAGACTGCTCTGGCCRTGTGTCAGCAGTTCTACAAGCGAGGAACCATCTGTCCTGGAAATGACACCTTTGATATCGATCCGGAGATTGTGACTGGTGATTAATCTCATCTATTATATTGGTTCTTGCGAAGGAGGGACCTTATAATTATGATGAATCCTTAACAAATATCTAGTATTCACAGACCATCAAATAGTCTGTATTAAATTTAATACCAACTCAATCTGATAGAAAACTGTATAACCGTATAACTGAAAACTGTATAACTAACCTCCTTACTTCCAACAAAAGAGTAGTTTATGCCTATTCCTACAAAGAAAAAGTGATGGGCCATTGGTACCTGTGGTTGTCTAATGCAAGTATTTCAGGCTAATTTATCAAATATTCCTTGTAAAGCAGTGTTTAAACACTTCATGCATGAGAAATACCTTGTCCCATGTTTGTGGGAACAAATGTTTTTGTAAACTACTCTCCAAAACAGCTCATCRCTAAGCATGCTACCTTGGCTCTTACAGCCTAGAGAACAAGAAAGGCAGATCGTGGTTAAAAAGCTTGTGGTAGGTAACCTGTGTGTAATTATCTGTTGCAGACTGCTTGTACATCGAGCCAATGTTGCCTCTAGGCAACGGAACCGTGGGGAAGCACAATTTGAATTTCACTCTGGATTTCCACAGGTGAGGAGGAATAGCTACTTCCTATATTGACATATTCCAGCACTTTCCCCTGTGAAAACCTAATGGGAAACTGTATTGCAGACTGGTGACAGTGCAGCTCATGTTCAATCTGAAGGCAATCAACCTGCAGACTGTTCGCCACCATGAACTCCCTGACTGTTACGATTTCACCCTGACAGTGCGTAGAAGTCTACCCATTTCTTTCTGTTCAAAATGGGAACTATGCTTGCTGGCTTAGTCAATGCAGTGGGTTGGGGCTTTTTTATTATTTAGGGAGGTTGGACATCATGGTTCCCAGTGGTATCTGGATTATTTTCTCAGGACTTAGTATCCCGTGAGTAATGGTCACTCCTTAAGTTTGGCTTGCAGCCTTGTGTGTTTTAATTTGTTTGAAGTATCATAAAAGTCTCCTCTTCAGAAAGATGCTCCTGTGAATAGTTGTTTTCAGATCATGGAGGAATGAGGCTGCAATTAAAAAAAAAAAGTCAAAATGTCACTTGCATTTCGATATCTAGTTGACCAAACAATTTGTAGCAAWTTGCCAATTTGTGGCAATTCTTTGGTCTACAATCTTACATCTCTTGTTTTAAAGGCGTTTATTTGAATAAACTGGAAGTACTTTAAGCTTACATACATTTTGTAACTTCTCCCCTAAGAGTATTATTCTGAATCATTATGCAAAATTAGCAATGCAGTATTCTATATATATAGTTGATTTAACTGGAAGAAGACATGCACTTTTAAATTAATGTCTTTTGTTGATACAGATAGTGTTTGATAATAAAGCACACAGTGGAAGAATTAAAATACGTCTAGACAACGACATAGCAATCAGGGAATGCAAAGACTGGCATGTTTCTGGATCAAGTAAGTGATATAAGTGCCTTCAAATTTTCATACACTAGCACAATGTTTGTTAACCTTTTTCTTCACTGAAAGATGAGGTGCTATTGCTGTATGTGRTCTATTGGATACATTCTAAATCTCATTTTCTAAAGAGTTGTTGTTTTGCTCTTGAACTTTTGATTTGAAATCTTGGGAATCCAGCCATACCATTACTTTCACTAGCTGTTCTCAAAGCTGGTAGCACTGTCAAATATTCATTGTCAAATGAATATTTTTCCTGCAAATCACTGTTTATTCTTCTAGTTTTAGCTTCTAATTTTATGCTCCTCATGTATTTAGGTAGGGCTGTGAATCATTGTTCTGGTGCCAAGGGGATAATGGTAGAAAGTTGAAACTAATTCACTCTTACTTCAGGACTTACCACAAAGCAAAGTAAGGAAAGAAAAAATAAGGATGGCTACAAACACATAGGATTGCTCCTTTAATTTTTTTAGGTCATGTAGCTGAGGGTAACTGAGATGCACAGTTACATATGGTTAGATATCTTGCAATAGGTTACTAAGAAAAGAGCATCCTTTGTTAGCAGCTCTTGGATCTGGTCAAAGCTCATATGAGATCTTTTTGATTAGCAAAAGTAATCTCTTTGGTAGCAGTTTTTCAGGAGTCTAAATCCCACTTGCTGATCCTTACTTTTTGTTTTCTTTCTTAGTAAGCAACAGGATAAATAAAATCTGTTTTTCTACTTTGCTTTGTTATCATTAGGAGATTTCCCCACAAAGAGTTTGTAGTAAAAAAGGAGACTTCTTTGAAATGATACACATTGCAATTAATGGTGAGAACTTAATGACATGCATTACAGAGGACGAAACAGACCATTTATACAAGTATATATTCCACTAACTGTCCTCGTTGAGAAGCACTATTATATACCATGTTATGAATGCACACTAGGCAGCATGTYATCTAACAGCCTGCTTGTGCAGCAAGACAATGTGGTTTTGATAGGAGGCTTTTGTGATGCTTATTTGATATCTATGTAGAATGCCCAGCATCCAGCTCTGCTACAGTTCTCCAAATCATCATTTGGATGAAAAATAGATAGGCAATAATTGCAAATGGATATTACCAATTTGTGTTCATTTGGTTTTTAACTGCAAAACCAAATTGAATGACAATATATACGTGTCTGTCACTTTGGTAAAAGCAAGAAGTAGGTGGGCTCTTTCTTGGAAAATGGTAGGTTTCTGTGAAGTCAATTAGAATTTTAGCATTTTAGTTTTGGAGAATTGCTGCCTGTTCTTGCAATTTTAGCATTAATTTGTTACCTTTTTTTTCTTTAAACATAATCCCACTTTTAGCATTGAAACTCTAATCTTTCTTATTCTATCTCCATCTAGTTTCAGTTGTATGATAGGTGTAACAAAAAGTGAGACATCCTGTGGTAATCTTGGTGCAAAACTTGACCTTAATTGATCAAGAATGTGACTTTAAACATCTTCATTTTTGTCCTTGCAGTACAGAAGAATACTCATTACATGATGATCTTTGATGGTTTTGTTATACTGACTTGCCTGGCTTCATTGATCCTTTGCACACGATCAGTGGTTAAAGGAATTCATCTCCAAAGGGTGGGTGACTTTTTCTGCAGAAAGTCTCTGTGTCTTCTATTAGCCTGATTAACTTCTTCCTTGCCTTCTTCCCCCTAGGAATTTGTAAACTTCTTCCTACATTATTACAAGAAAGAAGTATCTTTCAGTGATCAAATGGAATTTGTCAATGGATGGTACATCCTGATTATAGTTAGTGATGTCTTAACTATAGTTGGATCCACTTTAAAGATGGAGATACAAGCCAAGGTAAGATATTTACATTTTTAGGCAGAAGCAAAACTGTTCATCTTAGTCCCTGCTGGGTTTAAATCTCTCAGGGGACTCTAGGCTGGCTATACTTGATTCTGACTGATACGAAATTGTAAAACTCCATTTTCTCTTTTGGAACTAACATTCAGATGTGTTGCTCGTTCTTCTGACTCCAGAAAATAAAATTAGCTCTCTGAAAGTTCAGGAGTTCCCTTCCCTTCCCCATCCTTGCTAATTTGATTAGGAACATTTATCCTTGCTAATTGGATTTTTTTCTGTTTATGTATTTTGTTTGTTTAAACATTTAATTTTCGGTTTCACATTTAACAAGTATTTAACTGTCATAGAAAATCTCTCCTTAGACATTACTTTGCTGCTTTCCCAGCCCAGGTTTCCAATGTGTACATAAAAATAAGCCACAGCCTGGCTCTAGGCCCTCCATTTCTAATGTAAATTTGTTTCTCTCCATTAACATGCTACATACAGCCAGAATTAGTGAACAAAAAATACTACAATGTGCTGTCCTCAGGCACACTAACATTCAGGCAGTTGTTCTTCACTAAATGCAAATCAGACTTTGAATTGTGGCATTGCAACACAACAGACTTTGGACTAGAGTGATGAAAGGCTAATTCTGAAATCCTTCTGGTGACAGCTTGACCATCACAGATGCCCTGCACAAATTGCCCCTTCTTAGCTTAGGAGCTATAAACTCAATTCTGAAGAATAAAAAGGAGCTAAGAGGAAGTTAGCTGAGATAAGAAATAACTCTATCCTGCTTTGGGATAATGCAAAGATGGGAACAGGTCTGCAGTAAGATCTTGCAAGGAGTGACTTATCTTGCACCTTGATGGGGCTTTTGATCTCTATGTATTGCCTCAAACTAGCTTTTAATGGGGGAGATTTCCAAGGAAGACAATTTCTTAGTAGATCTGTGTAGGAATGAGAAACATGTCAGTTGTTGTAATACTTGATTTATTCATTTTATTTTTTTTTTAGAGTCTGACAAGTTATGATGTCTGTAGCATACTCCTAGGAACATCCACTATGCTTGTATGGCTTGGAGTGATTCGCTACCTAGGTTTCTTTCAGAAGTACAATGTAAGGATCTCCTGGGATCTTCGTGCTGGTGGTATTTATTTTGTTTGTTGTTATCAGACAACTGGAAAAAATGCCTGGTTAAATTTTAACTGCTCATTTTGATTTCTGCAGCTTCTCATTCTAACCCTGCGAGCAGCACTACCTAATGTGATGAGGTTCTGCTGTTGTGCTGCTATGATCTATCTGGGCTACTGCTTCTGTGGATGGATTGTGCTGGGACCTTACCATGTGAAGGTAACAAGGCCTGACGACTTGAATGAAAAGGGCAACTCAAATAATCAAATAGATTCCAGATAAATGCTGCTGCTGCCTTCTAGGTTTCAGTGACAAGGGCCTTAATATAAACTTAGTGCATCTGCACCATGATGCTGGTCTGTTGGAGAAGTCAGACTTTCATGACTCAGTCACACTTTAGTTACAAAAGCTCTGAGTCAGAAGTGGAAGATGCTGTGACTCTCAATCACATGTTGGGAGTCCTATGCGATATTTTGAAAAACAAATTTCATTTTGCAGAACACCAGTAGTAGACTAAGATTTTATCCTTGTCCATTCTGAAAATGAAATTGGCTTGTTCACCCTATCAGGAGCCTACAGATGAATGAATTGAGTATGTTTAGGGGCTTGACCACCTTTGTGCATTCCCTAGATGCTTCCAGTGTTAGCACTGCACTTTGTTGTACTCTRGAGATGCAAAGGCTAAAATCCAAGGCAGCCAGTTGGCGCCTGTGTGTCTTATTCATGTTATGTAGAGTCTCTGAATTCAAATAAAGTGGCCACCAATACTGATATCTTCTTTTCCTCCTCTCTAGTTCCGTTCTCTGAATGTGGTTTCTGAATGCCTTTTTTCATTGATAAACGGAGATGACATGTTTGCCACCTTTGCAAAGATGCAGCAGAAAAGCTACTTGGTTTGGTTATTCAGTAGGATCTACCTCTACTCCTTCATCAGTCTGTTCATCTATATGGTGCTAAGTCTCTTCATTGCACTCATTACAGATACATATGAAACCATCAAGGTAAGCATGAACTCTTTAGATAGGTTAAAAGTGCAAGATTGGTGTTATTGAGATTCATCTCGCTTAATTTTTGACTAGCTACATGTGCCAATTTAAAGAATAAACATAATGGCTACTCTGAGGGTATAGAGCAGTGACAAGCAGAGATGTTTCATCCTTCCCCAATTCAGCTTTMTTATCAGTCTGATTTCAGTAGAAACTCAATATCTACTTAAAAGCAGTGATTTCATATTCAAGTGTTTGAATCTTCTAAGTCCCGACTGGAATTGGATGTGGGTTATTCTATACTTAGGCTTCTTAAAACATGAAATGATTTTTGTTTTTTTAGCACTACCAGCAAGATGGCTTTCCAGAGACAGAACTTCAGATGTTCATATCACAGTGCAAAGACTTACCAAACTCTGGCAAGTACAGGTTAGAAGAGGAGAGTTCTGTATCCCTCTTTTGTTGCTGTAATGGTAGGTACCTGAGATAAAATTACACATTTATATATATATATATATATATCTCCAAAGCACCACTTACTGTCCATAGTCAAATGTTTATGAAGAATCTTTAAATTTCGGGTTGTGGGAAGGGAAACAAAGAAACAAAGTGTTTCTAGTGCTGTAGAATAGAGCAATGAAACACTTTATTGAAACATGTCCAGCCAGTAAACTTTTTGGTGTAGGTAAGGGGAATCCTTACCTTGGGAATTACTTGGGGGTAAGGGGAATCCTTACCTTGGGAATTACTTCTGCTTGGAAAGCTATTACTGCTGCTTGGAAAGCAGCATCTGAACTCCCTTATGGAGAGCTTCATGTACTTAAGTTCTGAAGTTTTCCTTCGGGAATACTGAATAGCAGTTGTGTATGCACGCATATTAATTTTATAAACTGCTTTTATCTGAAAATAGTGTAATTCTTTCTCCAGAAGATAAATCATAGGCAGACTTTGCAGTTACCTGTAAATACTGAACACTGCTTCTTTAGCTCAGTAGTCTGCACTTCTGGCTTTGGAAGAAAAGATATGTAGGAATAAATAAGGGTTTTAAGTGGGAAAAGTATGGATGTTGCATTATGGATTATGTGGCTTCTGACTGAATAGTCACATGGTCTTACAGTACAGCAAAGGCTTCTCTTAAACTCTGTAGATACTCAAAAATGATTTATGGTGGTCTCTTGCACCTTTCATACAAGTATATGTCAAATGAATAATTAAGTAGTTGATGTCTATAGCTGACTTTTCTCCTCCTTTGCTGTACAGGTCCCAATGAAGGTATCTAATGGATTGTGGGAGTGTATTTTGCAGCCTGTAAAGCAGCACCCATTTTAAAAATTGGATAGTGGTCTGGATGGAAAATCTTATACCTTAAGCCTAAATTTTTCTCCAAAAATAGTGCAAGTAGAAGAAGCTTGGGAAAAACATAAGAATCTTGAAGAAGTGAGAGAGCTGAATGAGAAATTCAGGTTTGAAGGGTTTTTTTAAAGTTCTTTTTCCTACTTGCTTCTTAGTGAAATTACAGTAGAATGCAAAGGGCACTAAAAAGCTGTGTTCTTGGCTAGATTCTACAAGTAGACTAGAAATGCAGTAAGTACCTTTCAGCTATACATAGAAATAATAYTGGACAACTGCAACTTTGACTACCAGACTAGCCCTCCGTACTGCAGGCACTGTCCATCTATATGACTGACTACTCCATGCTCCCAGGCTTTTGTTTTTCCAGCTGTAGTAAAAATAACCAAAATTATGAAATTATAACTTGCTTCTCGTACAGTGAATTGATTCAAATATTGCTCAGGATGTAAAAATAAATATTTATATAAATGTAAGTTATGCCATTTGACATAACTGGCAGTCTCTCCTCAGGGAGACGAGGCATATGGCAGCCCAAAACTAAGTTTGAGAGATTAGTTGAGCGGAGAAGTGTTAATGTTCTCCTTTAACTAACTTCAGCTAGGCTCAATGACAGTYCTCAGCTTCTTTTAGCAGTGTGCTGACATTATGTTTTTGAAGAAAAAGATAAAAGCACTTTCAAATATCTATTATTTTTATTTAAAAACTTCCTCTGGTACACAGGTTGGTAAACCTGGGACATTTATTTAAATATGTGAGAGATAAGACTCTGAGAGTCATATCTCTCCACACTTTAAAAGCTGAATGTTTCAAACTAAGCTAATAATCTGATACTGTCCGAGGCTCTCTGAAACATTAGATCCTATTAAAAAAAAAGAAAGTTAAATGTTAACAGCTTAGTTTGTATTGTTTYTTCATTGTGAATCCATTTAATGGATGCCTTATTTTCTATAGTCTATTTGCTTTGGGACTAGAATGGAAAAAGAAAAGGGAGCATATTTTAGATAACTTGTATTTGTAAGCAACAATCATACAGGTGTGTGTGAAAAAGCGTAATAAAATCCTGTATACTGTGCACAGACATGGGGGACACTAAACATGCTCTGAATATTTATATATTGTAGGAATGTGCTACAATAAACATTTGCAGTTGCAGTAAGTATTGGGTGCGTCTGTGTTCATTTTAAGAGTAAATATGCTGCCAGGTTAATACAGGAGCTTTTTCAYGGCAATATGTAATTTCTGGCATGAAACAGAGTGCTGAGTGTGCAGACTTGCACAATTTGTAGTCAAGATAGCTGGGATGGACCCTCACCAGGATCTGCTCCCAGTTAGATCTTGTCTGAGCTTTTCAAAGATTATAATTGAATCAAGCAATTATGAAACTTTGCACTYAAAATGCTATTCATATACTATATGAAGTTCAAATTCAGTGAAAACAAACCAAATCAAGATATAGTCAAAGCAAACTATTCACCATATCTAAGTTTCCTGTACTGAGATACTTGTCTTCCAGCAGTCACCTGAGATAGTCTTTTTAATCTTTTCAGAGAGATTCGAGGCTATCTTGCCTTGAAAAGCAAATATTAAGTCATATTAAGTCATTAAGTAATATCTGCTCTGTTGACACTTGAAATTCCTTGTGGATCTTTGACAACAAACAATAAATAATCACTATAGTATAAAACAGCTTGAGCAAGGAATTCGGACAAGGTTGGCCAGCATTTCAGCATTACTGAAATGCAGAGGCTGACTTCTTTTTAGCAAGTCTTTTTCATATGAAGCTAGGAGAAAGTTAAGATTTTGATAGAAAATAGGAGGTTCTATTGAAAACAACCACTCATGCAAGTTTTTTACTCATAATAAATCTTTACTGATTTTTTTCTCCTCTGAGTAACTTGCTCAAAATGCAGGTGCATTTTGTAAACAGCTACAAAGTACTTTCTTTTCCAACACCTCCATAAGGTAAGTATTATCCAGATTTAGAAATGGGGCAGAATATATGTTTCATTGCTGTTGATTTCTGAAACTGATGGGGAGTTTCAACACAGTTTGTATGAACTCTAAAGTATCAATTTTTTATGAAGTTTCACAGAAGCAGCATGAGCACAAGGCATGAAAAAAGCCACTGGGTGACCCCTAAGCAAGAAAAGGTAGCCTGTGGATTGCTTTAATTTCATTCTGCTGCTTCATAGTGATTTATGGTGCTAAAAGGCAAACTCCACTGGGAAGTTTGTTCTGAAGTAAGATCCCAGATAGATCCTTTAAAAAGCAAMCTGCAATTCTGACAAAGCTAAAAAGTCAGTTGACTGAGACCTAAAAATTAATGGGAGRCCATGCTCTGTTAGCTCTGTTGTGCTACGCAACTTCCCATTCAGCTGTGTGATTGGGGGGAGGAAAAGCTGATGGAAGGCAACTGCTTTCAGACARTGGGCAGGGTCACAACGTGAAGCCACAGGGGAAGGGCTGGCTTAGTTTTAGGAGATGGATATGGAAAGCAAGGGATAGAACGGGTGGGGGAAGCGCAGGGACAAAGCAGCTGTAAAGCAGCAGAGTAGCTGCCTGTGGATGCTACTAGGTGGGGACAAAGAAACTGACTCTGAAAAGTTAATTTACACCTGCCCAAAATACCCATTTCTGAACATAAAACCAAACATTATACCTATCTGATACCTATTTCTTAAAAAATATATTTCTTAAGAAATCCAGACACAGCAGCATTTATGGTTCTCCGTGGTAATAATATTGGTGATCTTGCTCTCCAACTCGCTGACGTGGCCTGATCCTTTGTGTTCAGCATCCTGACCCACGTTATTCRGCTCGTCCTGCTTTCCAGTCCTGCTTTCCAGTCTCCTGGCTGCRTTCCACAGTGCAGCTCTAGGAGCGGATCTGCCTTCCCCTCTGCGTGGCGGCTGCTCCCGTGGGGTTTGTTGCGAGGCTTTTTACACTTGTTTCTTGTCAAAGTGTAGGGTGCTGGTTAAGGCCTCATAGAGTCAAAAACCACAACAAGGATCTTAGTTTAAAGAAAAAAAGTTAAAAGGTCAACATGAGCAATGCTGATAACATACATAAAGCTACACCCTGGAGAAGTAGTATCTTTATGCTGATGCAATCACGCAGGCACAGATAGACCTGTAAAATGCAAGCAGGGAGAGCACCGAAGCAGATAAAGCACCAGATAAACTCACTAGCCCTCCAAACGCCATCCTGAGGAGTGCAGAGCTTTAATGCAGGCCAAAGGTGTGCAGTGGTGAGCGCAGCTGCGTGCTGGTCCTGCGCTCTGCAAAATGGCTTGGAAAGTCCTGATTGTCAGTATTGCCTCCTCAGGAAAATAACCCTGCAGGGTGCCAAATATACTGAAGCTCATTTCAGCACCAGTGCTCCCCAGGGAGCAAGGATAGATTTACATCTATTGCTAGAATGAAGCTGAGCAAGGAGGAGGGAGAGGCGGGGGCACATGCTTATTTCTGGGTACCACTTTCCATGTGGGATAGAAGCTTTCTCTCAAGGAAAGGTGAACAGAGCATGTGCAAATCAGAAAGAAAACAAAGCCAGATACGGTCGCAACTTTCCAATAAAAAGTGTGTATGGGCATAACATATCTCTGGGAGATGGGGGAGAAAAAGAAAAAAAGCATGTGCTGCTGTAAAACCTCAGAGCAGTGATGTGGTCTGAACGAGACATCTTCTTGTCTGCAGCAGTATCAGATACCAGGTGCTTCAGAGGAAGCCTCGAGAGAACTTTCATGCRTGACTTGCCTTAGTGCTAGCAGCTGGCTGGGAGCTCACAGCTCACAGCTCACAGACTGGTTGAGGTTGGAAGGGACCTCTAGAGATCATCCAGTCCAACCCCCCTGGCTCCAGCAGGGACACCCAGAGCATGTGGCAGAAGGTGGCATCCACATGGGTTWGGAAGGTCTCCAGTGAAGGAGACTCCACAACCTCAAGGTGATGTTTGTCYGGGCTTTTGTTCATTCTTCTCCCCTAGCAGGGTGGCTGTGACTCCGCATGGCATCTCCAGAGGTGTTATGCAATGGCACACACCATCCTGCCCTTATCCAGCCCGGCCGGGGCTTGGAGACAGGTCAGGGAACTCCAGGTCCTTGCACCGAAGCGCCTCTTCCAAGTCTGTTCTGTTTGGAACACTCAAGTTTGGAAACACCACATCACGCCACGCTGAGAGAGGTGCCACAGCACCCCTGCAGTGCAGCTGCAGCCCCTTGCAGCACAGCTGCACCCCTGCAGTGCAGCCCAGCACCCCTGCAGTGCATCTGCAGCCCCCCGCAGCACCCCTGCACCCCTGCAGTGCAGCCCAGCACCCCCGCAGTGCAGCTGCAGCCCCCCGCTGCACCCCTGCAGTGCAGCCCAGCACCCCCGCAGTGCAGCTGCAGCCCCCCGCTGCACCCCTGCAGTGCAGCCCAGCACCCCTGCAGTGCAGCTGCAGCCCCCCGCAGCACCCCTGCACCCCAGCACAGCGGCTGACCTGACCCGGGCGCTTCCCGCCTCCGCTGCAGAGCTCGGCCGCGCCGCCTGCCCCGCTGCGAGGGCCAGGGCCGTGGTGCCTCTGCCCTGGCAGATAAGCACACTCGGTGGGAAGGAGGGAGATAAATCTACTCTTTAGGCTTGGGAAGAGACTTTTATCCCCCTGCCCCCACGCCTCCTTAGGGTACTTGCAAAATACAGTATATTGGGAAAAGTTTTGGGAAGAAATCAGAGAAAGGGGCTAAAATCTCGAGTGTCCCCGGACCCCTCCGAGCCGGGCCAGGGCAGGGCAGGGTCCCGGCCGCAGGGCCGCCCCGAGCCCGCGGCGCCGCCC